GGCACAGTAGCTCATGCCTGTCATACCGGCACTTTGGAAGGCTAAGTTGGAAGGATCACTTGAGGCCAGGAATTCCCAACCAGCCTCATCAACATAGCCAGACTCCATCTCTACAAAAAAATTTTTACAAATTAGCCAGGTATGGTGGTGCCTACTTGTAGTCCCAGCTTCTTAAGAGGCTGAAGAAGGAGGATCACTTGAGCCCAGGAGTTCTAGGCTGCAATGAGCTATGCCAAGCCACTGTACTCCAGCCTAGGCAACAGAACCAGACCCTGTTAAATAAAATAAAATAAAATAAAATAAATAAAAAAATAGACGGTGCCCAAGAAACACTATATATTTCCCTTAAAGGCTTATGAAAAGAAAATACTTTCAAAGGCAAAGGTGAACTATTAGGAAATAAAATAAAGGATGGCTAAAAGAGATGAGAATGAAGAATAATAAACTTAACATGTGTGCTTGGAAATGTTTCTAGTAAGACTCATCTCCAATCATACAATCACATGACATCCTCACCTCTTCTTTCAGAGCACTGAAATCATTATCCATGATTTTACTAAGGAAAGCTTTGAAATGTCAGGTTTTCTATTTCTAAAACTCTAATACATGTAGAAATTCTACTCACTGAAAATTACCTAGGTGTCTCCCAACACTGCAATTACTTTAGGACTTAGCTCTTTGAAGCAGTAGCTCACTCCATTTTCAGAGGAGGAAAAAGAATCTATGTAGCCACTGAAAGTGCTTAACCTACACCAGGAAATGGGCTAAAGATTAAAACTGTGCCCACAGGAGTAAGGAAGGGAGGAAGATAGAACATGGATTGGTAAAGCAGACACTCTAGTGTCCTGCCCAGATAACACTGGGTTCCTTTAATGGTCTTGTGCGTCCTTTCCCAACTTTTGTGTGCTTTGCTGCTAAGGGATGGTACCAGGATTTCTTAAGAAAAACCCTCTTCAACCACCGAAGCTGCTTCACCTGCAGATGAAGAGAGCAGAGGTGCTTGGAAGTTTATAGCCCTCTCTTACCTGCCCACAGACAGTGATTGATGCAGGAGTGGAAAAACCCAGCTCTACTGCCTTGAAGTGGAATAGACTCTAGGGAGCAATTATGTTCCAGAGCTGCCCACTGCACTCCCCCAACTCTGGCCCAGGATCAGGCTGGGGCAGGCACATAGATTAAATCATCCCCCTGCTTGGCTTCTTCCCTTTCCTTTCCCTTCCTCCACTCACTGGTTTCTCCTGGGAACCCTGCCTTGATAAGCCACTTGTGCAGAAATCCTCTTCTCATTCTGCTTCTGGAGAGCTCATCTCACGACTCTTGGCATGCATGAATGTGCTCTAAGAAAATGTGAAAGAAACAACAGGTTTTTGTGCTTGCTATTGTTGTACCATGGGTAAGAGCTTCTGTAACACCCAAGAGTTTGAAATAACTGCAGTATTTACAGGGTAATAAGAAGTATCCTTATTCCTATAGAGCATTGCAGCAACCTTAGGCCATAGATCTTAGATCAAGAAAAAATACACTAATAGCTGGCACAACATATCTATGTCTCCAAGGTGTAAGAGAAGACAGGACGATGAGTAAGGCTCTAACGTAGAGGCAAAATGAAAGAAAAGACAACATTAAGTTTGGTGAGCTGCATGCCTAACACTAACGTTATAAATTCTGCATATAATTAATATAGATATTTTCTGAGATGTAGTCTCGTCTGTCACCCAGGATGGGGTACAGTGGCACAGTCTCGGCTCACTGCAAACCTCCACCTCCTGGGTTCAGGCGATTCTCCTGTCTCAGCCTCTCAAATAGCTGGGATTACAGGCATACGCCACCATGCCCAGCTAAATTTTTTTGTACTTTTAGTAGAGATGGGGTTTCATCATGTTGGCCAGGCTGGCCTTGAACTCCTGACTTCAGGTGATCCGCACCCCTTGGCCTCCCAAAATGCTGGGTGGCATGAGCCACTACACCCAGTCTATAATGAATATTTAATAAAAACAATTTAAAAGGAAGAAAGCACCCCCAACGTTAGGTAGGTTTTTCAGAAGAAGAGAGTATCTTCCAAACTAAAATACCATAGGGGAGAAGTTATCAAGGGTTGTTTACTTTCTTTTCCTGAAACTTGAAGGCAGTTTTTGATTGGACTAAACTAAGGCATTCCTCTTCAGCAAGAGCCAATCTAAAGCTCTCAATGCAAAGGTCACTTAACGCAAGGATGAGGATAATTCATCCAAAAACAGTCATTTTGTTCTCTAAATAAATACTTTCTATTGTAGGAGTTTATTGACCAACACTTTAAAAAAAAAAAAAAAAAGCTAAACTGAATGTGACATATAAGCAAGATCCAAAATATACCTTTGCCTTTATAGGAATATGAACATATTCTGAATGCCTACTCTGCATATAAATGGGCTTAAAAAATACATTTAGAACTAACATAGAGTCAGAGCTGCTCACTGTTGGAAGTATGGGGAAGTAAAGCAGGCATTTCAAGACAAAGCCAGAAATGCTCAGGTTCCAGAGTCCAGAAGTTTCCAATTTTGAGTATGGGAAGATATTATAGAAGAATCAGATTTTAGTTCAGTGTTTTAAAAAACAACTCACAATTCAAGATATGTAGCAAGTGAATGATGTTAGAGGCCAAATGGTTTTGTTTTTAGGAGAGGATGAGGGACATATGGAAGGATTCTCTGGAAGGAAGGCAGGACTAACGTAAGCAATCGACCACCAGGTGACATCTGGGGCTCCTAATCAGGTCCTACTGGGTGAGAACGAGAGTACACTGCCCATGTACTGTGCTTCAGCCCAGGATCTGGAGCCATCCAAAGTCTTTGTAAAATTTTTTTTGTTGTTTTTTTCTTTTTGAGACAGAGTCTTGCTCTGTTGCCCAGGCTGGAGTGCAGTGGCAGGATCTCAGCTCACTGAAAGCACTGCCTCCCAGGTTCACACCATTCTCCTGCCTCAGCCTCCCAAGTAGCTGGGCCTACAGGCGCCCGCCACCACGCCCAGCTAATATTTTGTATTTTTAGTAGAGACGGAGTTTCACCATGTTAGCCAGGATGGTCTCGATCTCCTGACCTCGTGATCCGCCCGCCTGACCTCCCAAAATGCTGGGATTGCAGGCGTGAGCCACAGCGCCCAGCCAAGCCTTTGTAAAATTAAATGTATAGCATTTATACTCCTTAATGTAGAGGAATTTCTTCTTTGAACTTAAAATGTTTAATAAAACTTCTGAGCTCTGTTGGGGTTCTTTTTTTTTTGGACTCTTGAATCAAGTGTTTATATTCACTAAGCACATAATTCGTCACAGGAACCATTTATAAATACAGCTGATGAAAAATGACCTATTTAAGGGTAATACAACTCTTACACAGAGAAAGTGGATAGTCCAGATTCATGTGGCAAAGGAGTGAAAAGCAGATGATGTGTCCACACTGATTTAAAGTCCCTAGAGAATTATTCAGTCCTTCCTAGTCCCCAGCTCTTCTTTGCCTACTAAGACATGGTTTATGAGTCACCCTTGGGGAGTAGTAAAAGATAGTGCACTTGACTAAAAATAGATAGGAACATTCAATAATAAATCTACTTTCTGGATATCTCTTGTCATCATTAAACACTGATCACTTAGAGAAGTGTCGGGTTGTGCGATTCTTCCTTCCCCTCATGGAAAGGCCGGAAGAAAATCAGCCACAGTCACTGCCAAAAGATAATGAAGTATCTCACATGATATGCAACACACTGGAGGAAAAAACTCTGCCATTAAATGCCAATAGCCCAGAGGAACAGATCCTCCAGGAGGACCTATTGAGAGGAACAGTAAAGTTGCTGGTTCATGCCATTGCTATAAAATGACCTCTTGTTCCTGAAGGTAAGAAATGATACATAGTCCAAATGCTTTGCTTATAATAGCAATTAAAAAATAGAAATTTGAGCCAGGTGCAGTTCGTGCCTGTTATCCCAGCACTTTGGGAGGCCGAGGCGGGCAGATCACGAGGTCAGGAGTTCGAGACCAGCCTTACCAACATGGTGAAACTCCATCTCTACTAAAAATACAAAAATTAGCCAGGCATGGTGGTATGTGCCTGTAATGCTACTCAGGAGGTGGAGGCAGGAGAATTGCTTGAACCCAGGAGGCAGAGGTTGCAGTGAGCCGAGATTATGCCACTGCACTCCAGCCTGGGTGACAGAGTGAGAATTCCATCTGAAAAAAAGTAAATACATAAATAAACAACAATTTGATCAAGGGATTATAAAAGAACAATGTCTCATATTCACTAGGATTCTGGCTCTGGAATACAAGTATTGGCAAGTTACAGTTTATAAATGAAACAAATCAGCCATATAAAGATATTTCCAGTTCCCCTTTTCACGTTTCTTTAAAGGTTTGTAAAATGAACCATTAGGGGAGCACTGGAAGAATTTATTTACATCATTCTCTGGTAGTTCCCCCAAAATGGAGGATTTTTGCTGATAATGTGCACAGTTGTGATTTTTCACATCAGTCGGAATCTTCTTAAGCAAAATCTGCACAGGACTGAAAACAAGTCACATACATTTCTCCCCAGAAAGAATTATAGACAATGATCACTTCAAAAACATGTGATGTTTACCAAATGCAGGCAACACTATAGCAGAGAGTAAGTAGAAAATCTAGCAAAGGGTAAAGTGCCCACGGTTAGTAGTGAAATTAATAAACTTGAACCTTGAAAGTGCTGGGAGATCCTGCTTAATGCTCTGCCGCATCAAGGAAGATGTCTGTGAACCAGTTTTGAGAGGCATTTCAGAAGCAGCATCAGCCAGAATGAAGGGATTCATCTTACAGACTGAAAGTTCTAGAACCCAGGAGGCAGAGGTTGCAGTGAGCCAAGATTGCACCACTGCAATCCAGCCTGGGTGACAGAGCAAGAATTCTGTCTCAAAAAATAAATAAATCAATAAACAGCAATTTGATCAAGGGATACCCTACAACCAAAGACTCTCCACACAGGCTATAAAGTACTCACCAGGCAGCTCTGGACCGACTGCAGGTGATGTCCACTTCGTCAAACTCACAGCAGCACTGTCCTCTGTGAAACAGACACAGACGAGACAAATCAATGTAAAGGACTTTTAGAGTTTTCATGGAGAAAAACAATCCTTTGCACTTCAAAATCAGAATCTATATGTAAATTTAAAAACGTCAGTAAAACAAAACAAAAAAAAATGGCGTAAGTTGCAAACAAAAGACACAGACACACAGTCATCATATCAGAATTATTACTGCTACACCCAGCCAACAGAGTTTATACACTGTCTCTATAATGCTGCTAATATCCTACTCAGCATCTTAATCTATTAAAATAATTAAGCAGCAATAGAACAACAAGGCTATCTAAAACCTTCTCACAGTAAATATAATTATCTTTTCCTGATTAGCAGTATAATGTCCTTAGATGAACTGTAATTGGAAAAAACTCTTTTTATAGCAGAATTACATCTATCTGCAAAGAGAGTCTTTTTTTATGGATGTTTCTGTATTGTCTTTGTTATTAAGTTGTTTATGTTGATTCTGAATTTGACACTGGATTTCTGATTTGGCTGAAATCTAGATTTCAGGATCTTTTCAAGGTGGAGTGGGAGAAAAAGTTCCAGGTGGTGTCAGAAGTTCACAAAAGTGGCCAGGTGCAGTGGCTCATGCCTATAATCCCAACACTTTGAGAGGCCGAGGCAAGCAGATCACTTGCCTTGGGAGTGGAGTTCAAGACCAGCCTCGTCAACATGGTGAAGCCCCATATCTACAAAAAATACAAAAATTAGCCAAGTGTGGTGGTGCATGCCTGTAATCCTAGCTACTCGGGAGTGAGGCAAGAGAATCACTTGAATCCAGGAGGCAGAGGTTGCAGTGAGCAAAGATCGTGCCACTGCACTCCAGCCTGGACAACAGAGTAAAACTCTATCTCAAAAAAATAATAATAAGTACACAAAAGTAAGGGGAAGTCCATTTCCATGTGGTAAGAAGGCAGAAGCAACTGATGACACCTGGGAAAACTGTGTCTGTAAAGTTTGAATTGAAATTTGTGAGGGTCACGATGTATAGAGATGACTACAGCAGAGTCCTTTAATGAGGTCTCAGGTAGGTTGGTACATTCATATAATACAAGACTACACCATGCAAAACAAGAGAGGAAATCTGTACCTATATGAACAGACATGGAAACAAATTCTCAGGTAATTTTATTAATTTAAAAAATCTGAAGTAGGGTAGTAATATGGGTACTATGACCCCATGTGTTAAGACAAACCTCACTAATCTATATGTAAATACACAGACATATATCGTTATACACAAATAACGCATCTGGAGGGAAAACAGGAAACATTGAGTGTGGCGGGGACTAGTACCAAAAGGAAATTTTTAAAGGGTAGGGTCTTTGATTTTAACCTAACACTTAACTATTATGTAATATTTTACCATGAAGCAAATTATTTTTATAATTAAAATGGAATAAAAGCCAATTCACTCCAAAGTCTCTACAGAAAGCAACATCCCACTTCAAATATACAGAATTAGGGAATACACAGCATCATGTACCCTGACTTTACTAATTTAGTGACAATTTACTATGATGCAGGCTGGGTCTAAGCATGGATTGAATCATTATTTATAATCCACATAAAAACTCAAAAATGTATGTACTGGGATTACTCTTATTTTATAGAAAAGGGAATGAAGAAGTTGAATATTCAAGAATCACACAAAGCTGGTATTCAAACACAGGCACCCTCACCCATGTTTAGCCCCTACAGTGCCACTTCTTCCATGGCATTTACTAGATTTTCAATATTACATTTGTATTCGTAATTATGTTTTAATATGAAGATAGGACTCCCATGAAGACAGGGATTATGTGTTATTGAAAACCATTAGGTATTTCCCCAATACCTAGCATAATGCCTATCACAGAGTAGATGCTCAATAAATCTTTGTTGAATGCTGAATAATTAGGTGGCCTACCTAGAGCTGGAATATTAAACTATATGACTCTTTTATGTCTCCTGAGGCTATGAAACAGGCCAAGTTTCCAAAAAGCTCCTAGATTAATGATCCTGCCACACCATGCTCCTCGCTTTGAGAAACCACTTGCTGCCCAAGTCATTTCATAATCAAAGACTTAGAGACTGGACACATGTTTTCCCTTCTCTTCGTTAATTCCCTAGTGACCATCTAACATAAACTGCTTCATTGTTCCATAAACCTTTCTAATTCTGGGCATATATAGGATATTGCAACATTTGGGAAAGCCAGTGTTGAAATACTTAACTACAAAGAAGTTAAGCAGTGTAAGCAATTTGTCATGAACTATTTAGCTACTGGCATATCACAGCCAAACTATTGCCACTGACTTGGAGTTGTAGTAACACATGAATGAAGGCTCCAGCATGTCAACTTTTCCTTTCAAATACTATTATTCTGGGTCATGAAGGGATTACATGGGGCTTTGGTAAAGAAGGGACGGTGTGCATGAGTGTGTGTGTGTGAGAGACAGATAGAGGCTGTGTGTGTGTGTGTGTGTGTGTGTGTGTGTGTCTGGGGTGTTTATATACGTCTCCCCACATGTTTTGGTCTTTCAAAGAAGAAAGCTATTTTCCCATAATAGGTAAACAAAATCGCAAATCCCATAGTTGTATCAGTGTGAACGCAAACAAAAGCTGTTTCGTTCAACAAAGGTATCAAGAGCATTCAATGGGGAAAGACAGTCTATTCAACACATGGTGCCAGGACAACTGAATACTCACATGCAAAGGAATGAAGATAGGCTCCTACCTCACAACATGGACAAAAATTAGCTCCAAGTGAATCACAGAAATAAAACTATAAAATTCTTAAAAGTAAATCTAACATAGGAGGAAATCTTTATGATCTTGGGTGACACCATTTTTGTGGCTAGAACAATGGTTTCTCAGGTATGACACCAAAAGCATGAAGAACAAAAGAAAAAAGAAGATAAGTCAAACCTCTTTAAAAACTTTTGTGCTTCAAAGTACACCGCCAAAAAAGTGAAAAGAGAAGGCACAGAACAGGAAATCTGATAAAGAATTTTTATCCAGGATGTAAGAACTCTTAGAACTGGACAGGAAAAAGACAAATAACCCAATTTTAAAATGGGCAAATGACCTGAATAGACATTTCCCAAAAAAGATATACAAATACATGAAAAGATGCTCAACCATTAGAGAAATATAAATCAAAGCCAAAATGAGACACTGCTTCACAGCCACTAGAAGAACTATAATCAAAAGACCTAACAAGTGTTGACAAGAATTTAGAGAAATCGGAACCTTCGTACACTGCTGGTGGAAATGTAAAATGATGCAGCTGCTTTGGAAAACAGTCTAGCAGTTGCTCAAATGGTTAAAAATGAAGTAACGGTATCACCCAGCAAGTCCACTTCCAGATATGAACCCAAGAAAAAATGAAAACATATATCCATATAAAAATTACATGTAAAATTTCATATTAGCAGCATTATTCATAATAGCCCAATTGTAAACAATCCCAATGTTCATCAACTGATAAACATATCAACAAAACGTGTAGTATGTTCGTGTAATAGAATATTATCTAGCAATTCAAAAATGCAACACAGATACACATGACAATGTGAATTAACTTCAAAGAAACATTACGCTGGCTGGGCATGGTGGCTCATGCCTATAATCCTGGCATTTTGGAAGGCCAAGGTGGGCGGATCACCTAAGGTCAGGAGTTCAAGAGCAGCCTAGCCAACATAGTGAAATCCCATCTCTACTAAAAACACAAAAATTAGCCGGGTGTGGTGGCGCACACCTGTGATCCCAGCTACTCAGGAGACAGAGGCAAGAGAACCACTTGAATCTGGGAGACAAGAGTTTGTAGTGAGCCAAGATCACACCACTGCCCTCCAGCCTGGGTGATAGAGTGAGATTTTGTCTCAAAAAAAAAAAAAAAAAAAAAATGCTAAGGGAGAGAAGCCAAGCGCAAAGACCACATATGGTATGTTCCCATGTATATGAAATGTCCAGCACAGGCAAATCCACAGAAACAGAAAGCAGACTAGTGGCTCTCTACGACTAAAGGAGCACGATGGGATTTCTTTTTGGGGTAATGAAAATTCAAAGGTTAGATTGTGTTGATAGTTGCACAATGCTGCGAATATATTAACACTAAAAACCATTGAATTGTACATTTTAAGTGAGTGCATTCTATGGTATGTAAATTATACTTCATGAAAGCAGTCTTTAAAGAAAGGGTTATACTTCAGTGAGTTTGCCAGTGAATATCAGTCAGCTTTTTCTGATAATGAGAAAAAGCTTATGAGAAAAATGAGAAAACACTTATGCACATTCTTCAAGAAAACACAGTAAGTGGTAACATTTATATATATTAAAAATTCTTATTGTGATTCTTCAGGGGATTCCTTGTGATGGAAAATACCCAATTTTATTTTATCCTGACAAAAGAAAAGCATACATATGGAACTGCCTTCAAGCCATAAGAAAACACCAACATTTTACTGTAAACCACCACTAATCATGCCACAGTGTTTTACAAAGTCTTATTTCAAAGCAATGGGGAACTTTAGCCAAGGGTGAAGCTTTTATTTCTCAGAGGAGGAAAAAAACTACAAATATTTGAAGGTGACATTGCCATGCCTGTTTTAGTGAATCTATATAGGTACTGAACACAAAAAGACTAGCATGTAATGTCCTCCCCCAAGACATTCAATATTTAGATTTTGTTTTAAAGTGAAGAATAATTGGGCAAGGTTGAACCAAAACAGATCATTTTATTCTGACTTAATACTGAACACGGAAATTATTGTTTTGCAAGCAAACAGAATGTTAGAAAACAGTTGTGTCAGTGAGTTTGTGCAATATAACAAACACTTCAAACTTCTGTAGCTTAAACCAGTAGCCACTTATTTTGGTGTTCGCAAGTTTGCAAGAGAAGCAAGAAGGCAGGCCCCAAAGTACAAGCACTTTCCAAGCCTCTGATGGATCGCATTGGCTAACATATCATTTGGCAAAACTAGTCACGTGGTCAAGC